ATGGATTCAGCCTTATCTTCAATTAACAACCTTATAACCACGTTTAGAGATGACATTTAGGCCGTTAGGAACCTCTAGAACAGAAGAAATCACATGAGAGCCCGTCAAAAACCTTCAAAACGTATTTTCGGATTTAACGTACGAGCATGTCGTTTGGGGCTGGCGGGCCGGCCAAGGCGAGCCACCCATTGGTGGGGGTTGGCCCTGGCCGAGTCCAATTTGGTATGACTCGGTCGCTAGCAGCTATTCTAGTTTCCAGGTTTTGACTTGTTGCATCTTTTACGCGTATTTCGTCATTTCGCTGACTGGTATGCTTCACCGATTCGCTTTGTGTGTTTCGTGAACGCGCGGATCGATTGACGGTGGCCAATGAGCGTGCGGACCAATTGGAGGTGGCCGGTGAGCGCACAGGACACTTGGTTCACCGTTCCGGTGGACGATGAGCGTGCGGACCACTTAGCGGTGATCGGTGAGTATGTGGGCCACTTGGAACTGGCTGATGAGTGCGCGAGCCAATTAGAGGTGGCTGATGAGTGGTGAGTATGTGGGCCACTTGGAACTGGCTGATGAGTGCGCGAGCCAATTAGAGGTGGCTGATGAGTGCACGGGATGCTTGGTTCGCCGTTCCGGTGGCCGATGAGCGTGCATGCCACTTGGCGGAGAAAGATAAATTAGAGAGTGAGACAATTGATGGTATGAGTGCATTACTTAGCGAGAGTTTGGGATAAAGGAGATGAAAGAATTATATATGGAGTATGAGGAAGAAAATTATTTTTTTGAAGCAATAATCATCGATAATTTTAACAATAGTGAGATGATACCATCGACACTAGAATATGGGAAGCAACAAGGAAAATATTTGGATGAGTTTTTCATGTCAATTACAGAGCCACATGCTGTCAGTTACATACACTTGTCATGAAAAAAATTCATACCCAAGTTTGATACAAAAGAAGTCCTAGCAGAGGAGGTAAAAGAACAAATGGAGAAAATCAATACTAAATACAAGGTGGATGCTGATCATTGCAAGAGAAGAAAATTATTTATCAATGAAGCTACTATTCTAACAAATATAAACTCGGGGTCGAGCTTCTTTCAACAAAGGAAGACTGATGTAGGATGCTTAATCTGAGTTAGAGTCTATTTAGATTAGGAAATATAAATTAGGAAATAAATTCAATTTTAGAGTCAAATTAGATTAGGAAACAAAATCAATTTTGATTCATGATTTGTTTTCTCAATTATAAGGAGTCCTTTTAGGATAGAATTTGACACTTTCTTTTCTTTTTTGTAATTCTAGTCTTACTAGGAGTCATATTTGATACTTTTTACTTTTATAATTCTAGTCTTACTAGGAGTCTTGTTTGTTTTTTAATTTAAGAAGAGTCATGTAACCCCAAAGGAGAATAACTTTTTATCAATAAAATTTCTCTTTTAATATTTTCTTCGTGGATTCAAAGTTCTTCGTAGATTCGGAGATCGTTCTTTGTGGATTCAGAGAACACCCTTGGTGGATTTCGAGGCTATAATTTTCGCGTTGTGTCAAATATTTTATTATTATTTCCTTAGTGATACAACACTCAATACTTTCTTTAATACAAACACTCTATCTACTACAAACTACCAAACTCTATTACAACACACTACTATTTTTCCTCACTATCCCTTTTTATTTTCCTCTCTTTATATTTCTTGCTAACTTGGAATTTGTTGCTACAAGGATACCTTCAACTTAAGGCTGAGGGGGCTATATATAAGTGATTTGTGGTAGGTGTGTACTGTTGCTACAGTGTTGCTACAATAGAGATTGGTGAGTCTGTAGTTAGTAATTACTGTAGCAGGGTAGCTAGTTAATATTGGCATAGTTGCTGCTGCTGACTTTAACATAGGATTAATGTAGTCATACATTAACTAGATGGGAACAGATTTGGATCACTACTACAAAAGTGCCTTATAGCAATGGTTCCAACCGTTGCTTATAGGCCTCTTAGTAATGGTTTGGACCGTTTCTAATACATTAATAACAGTTAAAACCAATGCAAATAATACATTACTATTAAAGCCGTTGCAATTAGCTTATTATAATAATTTAACCCCGTTGCAAATATAACAATCGTTGCTACTAAATTAATTTTTATAAAATAATAATAAATCCACATCCGCAAATCCTAACCGTTGCTATAGTCTATTAACAACAAAAGGCAACCATTGCTATAAGATTTATTTAAAAAAATAAAATATCTACATCAGCAAAATTCTAACCACCGCTAAGATGTATTAACAAAAGAAAACCTTTGCTATAGGGTATAAAAAAGGTATATTCACCAAAATATTACTGCTCATTCTCGCATCCAATTGTAGCAATGGTATTCATCTATTTTCAAATCATTTATTTCAATACACAATATCATTCAAATGAAACAAATAATTACCATCATAAATAAGAAATTAACTTAATTATCAATTAAAAAATAATTTATGTTCGATGCAAGTTTTTGTCAATAAATTCAATGACATTTAGTTTAGACCATTTACAAGGTTCCCAACTTCTCTACATCCTACAACTCTAAACTGAAATGCAAATCTAACAAATGAAAACCTACTCAAAGACCTAAAACAGTGAAGCGATAAACCAAGAATAATTAGAATTTGAATAAAGTTCATGGTGAGCGCATAAATTATCAAGATGAGTCCTCCTTCCTTCATCAAGTCTCTCACAATGCATTTTCTCCTACCAACTCATTGCACCAAAATAATCTCCCTTTCATCACCGATCACCTCGCAACCTTCATTCTACCACAAGTAATAGAGATTTAGAAATAGAAAAAAGGAACATTTGAGCCTCTACAAATTTAGATTTTAACAAGTTCTCAAATTGACATAGAAATTAGAAATTTATAACATGACTCAATTAAAAAATGATTCGGTTTACTGTAGCAGACAACTGCAAACAATAATAATAAGGGTATCCTCAAGTATTAAAACACTAATTGATTCATGTTTTAAACTAGAAATTTAAAACATGAAATAATTTACTGTAGCAGCCAATAATTTATCGTTTGGACATCCATAATTGTATATTCTATTGTAGATAATTTTATTTGTTTGTACATGTATTTACTTCATAGGATAGAGTGAGGCCAATCGGGCTTGTCTTATGAACTAGCCCGCCAAATCTAGGGCTAGACCTAGCCCGGCCCACAGCCCGCATGGGGCTAGGCTAGGTCTGACTCAGCCCGTGGTTATTCCGGTTGGGAGTCGGCCCGCATTTTTCCTGTTCAATTTTTTCCTTTTCAAGAATTTTTGCTAGATTAGCATGTATAGTTTAAAGAGCGAAGCCTATATTTTATCTTTTGGAGAAGTTTAAACCCTATAAATTTATAATTGGTGATTGAATTATCTCAAAGGACAAAAAATTTACAAAAAAGTAGCAAATCAAAATGACTAAAATTTTTTATCAAAATACTAATAGAACTTAGAAAATCTCTATTACTACTAAACTTACAACTGGAACACTTAGGGTTTGTAATTTTTGATTAAGTTGCTACTAAAATTACGTGAAATATAACTATCACCTAAGACAGGTCAGGTCATACTAGGCCGGGCCGGTTTGGACGTGGGCCGGGCCTTCTTCTTGTCAATAGATTTAGAGTGAAGCCTAGTTTAACCCGCAGCCCGGGTATATCACGGGCCAAATTGGTCTCAACCCATTATGGGCTAGGTCGGGCCTTGACCCAAAACGGGTTGGGCCAGTTTGGTCCGCGATTCGAACGGCTCACATCCACTTATAACGCAACTAGGCAAGATAATTATTGGGTATTTGCATGTCAATGAACTCGTAATTACATCAAGATATTCTCTCAGAAAGAGTTGCATGAAGACATCATTGAGACAAGTCTCTACCATTACCTACGAATATATCTAAGCATCTCATTGTCATCGTAACACCGAGTCATCGTTATTATTATACTAGTTTTTATGCACGTGCAATGTACATGGTTAAATATTTAAAAAATATTGTTTTATATTTATTTAATTACTTTAAATAAGTGAGATTTATCTTAAGTTCAAATATGTATAATTGAATTAGAAGATTTATTAGTATTTTATTTAAATATTAAAAAAAATGTAAAGGAATTTAAGCTAAACTTTGATGAATATAAGTATCTGGGATATTGTAATTGTTATTATGAATTTTAGTTATAGTAACGTAGAAAATATTTCAAAAATTTAAGTTCATTCAAATATTTTTTGACTCAAAAAGCTAAGATAATTGTTTGATTTACTGCAAACTTGTAAATTATTTTTGTTCTAAGAATTTTTAATTGATCACCACCACTAACACCTAACAGGAACTTAATTAAAGTATGAAAGTAAATCTTGATCAAATTTGGTCCCTTATTCAACATGGCAACAATCTCAACAAGTAATAATTAGTAAGCCAATTTTTTTTTGAAAACAAAGAATATTGAGGTTTGTGACAACCCCAAGCAAATTCATCACAACAATAATTCTTTGCCAATTGGTTAAAGAGGCCACATTTATATCTTAAATGATTGATCACATGCTGCGCTATCCATAGACATTAACAAAATATAGTAAAATGGTTAAATATCAAAGTGTAATTTTATGCAACAATCTCAACAAAATAATTAGTAAGCCAAGTTTTTTTTTTGAAAACAAAGAATATTGAGGTTTGTGACAACCCCAAGCAAATTCATCACAACAATAATTCTTTGCCAATTGGTTAAAGAGGCCACATTTATATCTTAAATGATTGATCACATGCTGCGCTATCCATAGACAATAATAAAATATAGCAAAATGGTTAAATATCAAATTGTAATTTTATGTGATGTAAGCAATCACATAAGCATACAAAACTACTAATAACTCTGCATGAAAATGCCTTATAAAAATTCCTAATTGTAATCAAAAAATAAGTTGTTATATAAAATGATTAAAAATATTGTTCTTGAAAATTTCTAATTGAACGAAGATCAATCTTTCTCCACCTTTATCTTTTTTCTGGGCAACTCTAGAGTAGCATCTTCATCATCTACGTCGATTGTAATATCAGGCTGGAGTTGAATTTCTTGTGCTATTATATTGCCTTCGCCTCGTTCATCTTTTGTCTTTTCATCTAACTTCACCAGGAAGTTGAATGTTTTTCCGATGGTCAAAACAATTTTTTGGAAATATGGACTTTGATTATTTTTCTGTTGCAATGAGAACAAATGTTATATAAATACTTATGAATTTGTTTATTTTCTAATTTACTACTTGAATAGAGTTAGGAATTACCTCTTTATTTTCTGTAATGAATGTTTCTGCTTTGCAATAAGAGTTTCTGCTGCGTCAAAGAGTGTTACTCTTGCATTATCCGTGCCATTTTCCCCGAGAATCTTAACTAAGTACCTGTATTTTTCATTGTTAATTTCTAAAGACAATTAGTATTGTATTTTAATATGTTCATGGCATTAAAAAATATATATTACTTAACCTTGGTACTGGGTCATCAATGATTCTGCGGCATTTGGCATTCAGACACTCTTTACTAACATCTTTATCAACCTTCTTGTCACAGCCTTTGCAAGCATAGAACCATGGCTCAAGCCTATTTAAAATATTAGTTATCTTTGCCTTAAATGTGCAATACTGTGCCTGTATACTAACAAAGTTTAGTTAGATTTAACTTTGTAGATAAGAATATGTTATAATATTGTACCTATATCGAATTATGTGACTTATGCATAATATCACTAATATGAATTTCCTTGGCATTTTTAAAAAGCGTCGATGGAGATCCTTTTGCTTTTGCAGATTCTTCCAATTGAAACCTGCATATTAGATTAAAATATAATAATATTCCATTATTATGTTATATGAAAGTATTCTTGTTCTGCTTACCATTCTCTTAATTCGCTAGCTAGTTCTATTTTTGGGTTGATACATAATGTTGAAATAATTTGCGACGATATGCTTGTATCTCCTGCAAAAATGAGAAAATTATAGGAGTAATTTTATGTTTAGCTATCTTTAATAAGAATTTCAGCAATAATTTATATACCTTGATATATAGAGATTTTAAAATCTGATAATGCTATTACAGGTTTATATTTGATTTCTGCTTCAAAAATTGATCCTTCATTTGTAGCTAAATATCAAAATAAAGTTGCACACGTTGGCATTCCACTGCATATGAAAAGGAAAGAATGTTAATATTTTTTTTCTCTTATGATATTGGAAATAAGTAACATGAATATACCTCATATCCATAAGCGTGATTTCCCTCCTAGTGTCTGGTTTGTTGTGTCTTGTAATATAGTTGATCGCTGGCTTAACATTAGTTGTTATTGCAAGAATATCTGCAAGTGTTTTGATAAAAAGATTATGATTCTGTAGATTAATGTCTCATTTTGTATTGAAGATTTAAGTAAGAAGTTTGTAAGTACTTACTAATTTTTGTTGCATCTTTCATAGAAAATGCTTCTTCAAATTGGACAAAGTTGTTAAATATGTTCTCCAAGTGGAATCATGTTGGTGCTTCTTTGATCGATACGTCTTTTGTTAGTACTAATTCAAGTGACTTGTGGATACTTGGAAAAGCTGGGTTTATTCTTTTCACTTCTCCATTTGAAATGAAAATAATTTGATTTTTTTGAAGCATATCTATAAACTTTTCGATAGTCTCTCCGTACATTACTGCTTGTATTTTGTTACCCTGCAAATATTATTAACACCAGAGATCAATGCATGGAAAATATAATTAATTAATACTAATATATATATTATATGTAAACAGGGAATCATCATAAAAAGCCATTCTGATAGTTATTAGTGTTTTAATGTAAGTTACCGATTAGAAAATAAGATTTAACAATATTCATATGATCAGATGTAACGTTAGGCAAACAACATATTGATGGAATAAACGATCTGTTGATGTAAGTATAAAAGATTGTCGTGTGTCTCTTATCTGGAGCTTATGACAATAATAATCTCGACATAAGATTTTTCCGGGTTTTGGTGCCTTGACGCCTGTAAATTTAGGCGTTAATCTATGTTCATATATAATAATAGATTTTTCCGGGTTTTGGTGCCTTGACGCCTGTAAATTTAGGCGTTAATCTATGTTCATATATAATAATATTACTTAGAAATGTGAATTAAAATTTACCTTTATTTTCTCGGTTAAATATGTCTTCTGCAGATGTGAAGGTAGGTGGAGATATTAAAGTAGGTATTATAGTTCTTTGTTGATTGTCAGCTCTGATATCCCTTTTATCCCTTCTTTTAATATTTTGATGCCATCCAACCTCTCCATTTGAAAAGAGTAAGGGATACTGTAGTGGATCATAACAGCCAAAATAGTGTTTCACTTGATGTCTTCCTCCTGAGTGTGCATGGACAATAATCTCTCTCTCAAATGGTGCATTGTCATTATTTCCTTCAACCCAGATTGCAGCCACCTGATCTGCTGTTGGTGAGTTGTAAACATGTTGATCTAGTGTAACGTTACTATTTATTAGTATCTTTAATTCTTCAAAAGATTGATAATCATTCAATTTGCGAAGGAACTTTGCATATGGGTTTCCTTGTAATATATCCATCAAGCTCTATCCGATATTAATGTAATGAGATATTTTAGAGACTTTCTGTACCTTAGCACCTATCTGATATTGTGTAAAGATACTGAGAACTGTAAATGTTTAATTTATTGCTTTGACTTTCCCCTTTTCAACTGGTTGGTGCTTTTACTTGTAAAGGAGAATAGGTTTATCACATGTGAAATTTTTCTTTGCACAATCTATTGAGTTTTTGGCCTACTTCTTTAGCATCAAGCTATTAAGTAATAAACAACCACAGTCAACTGCCTGTATCGAAAACAGAATAAAACCTCAGTTTTTTGGAAAGAGATGGAGATGATAGACTTAGGGCTAGAGATCATGGACTATCAGGTTTCACCATTAAGATTAGTATACAAGTAAACAAAGCAATCTAAGCGTCTCAAACCAAAGAAAAACCTAACAAACGCAAATATTCATGCAAATCAAATAATATTAACCAAACAAAATCCATATAATTTACTAAAATAAACATATCTGGGAATAATCATTGTAACTAAAATTTCAATTAAGAAACAAAACCTAATTGTACATGAAAATTTACCTTGATAGATGGGAGAACACAATCAAATCTTTAATCCTCTAAATTCTACATGAAAATTGAAGAAATTTTAAAATAATATCAATTGCCATAAAAAGTAATTGCAGTGTTAAACAAATATCACCATTAAATAAAATACACAATATTTTTAAAGATTAATCATGAAATCATGAAAATAAAATAAAAATATAAAAAAGAAACATACATGTTGAAGGAGTTGAAGGAGATGAAGATAGTGTGAAAATTGTGTAATTTATTAGTTTATATATAGGCATGAGGTATTGCATGTGATAGGATAATAGTCATAATTAGAGTTTTATTAGGATTTGAATTGTGTTACGGAAATTTATTTCTTTTAAAAAAATTTGTGTACAAAGTTACCAATCGGGGATATATAAAGTAACAGATAAGAATTAATATATATCAAATACTCTTTAGATAAGAATTAATATATCTATTAAAATAACAGATAAGAATTTTTTATCATTAAAAGTGACAGCGGATGATAACTATTTAGTCTATCTATTCATCCGGTATATCTATTAATATATCGGGTATCTCTATTATTAAAGTAACAGATAAGAATTTTTTATCATTAAAAGTGACAGCGGATGATAATTATTTAGTCTATCTATTCATCCGGTATATATCTATTAATATATGGGGTATCTCTATTTCGTGATATCGAATTTCATATCATCCGCAACAACCTTCTATGAATTTGATTATAGATAGGGTAGTTTAAACTTTATAGGGGTATATTTGTCTAAAAAGGATTTTTCCTAACTCGTGCTTTTAAAGGGAGTATGATTGATGCAGGTTGAAAGTTGGATACGGCAAAAAAAAATGAATATTGAGAAGCGTACAAGAAACGCTCTACAAAATTGATGCATCAAATATCAAATTATCGACCAATAATAATTCTCATTTACTCTATTTCCACTCAATTTGTTTTATTCTTCAAATGTCTGATCCAAGGTAACCACACCTTAAACAATCACCAGCGTAGGTAGCAGCCTCTGATAAATTGTCAACACCTATCATTCCTCTGTTAAGTAAGCTACATATTTGTACACACAGATATACATACAAATTTTCATTGGTTTAAAAGCACTCTTATATACAGAAAATGACAAAAAAAATTCTCTTTTCCGGATATTTGTATACTATAATCTCTCTCAAGTGCTCATCTGAGCACTGGTTTTTGCAGAACATTTGAAAAACGAACATCCCCACTAAGAACCGAGCTCACAAACTTCTCCACTTCCTCCATTGTTACCTCACCAGTATAAACTGCAAATTTCCTTTTCTTTGGCTTGTAAGCCACCAAAAGCTTGTCCAAATACTTGTATCCAGACTTATCGAACGAATATAGGAAAGACGAATGTTTGGTTGCATCCAACAAACAGTAAGAGATGGAATCTCTTGAACCATCGCCCAGATTATGTCGCCTCACTAATGACTTCTGAGAGATCTGGATGCAAAGAAAAACAATCAGATAATCATTAAAAGGATAGAAGCCAATGGTAAATGTTACATTCTAGCATACACACATATCATAAGCAGCACCAAATATCTCGGATGCCCATGATATCTTAAACTGCCTATACAAAGTGCTCATAGAAGAATTCCCCGCTCAAAAGGAAAATTATAATACTTGCACTTAAATACCTAAGGTATACCCCATTTTTAACTTTGATACCCCAAAGTTCAATTCAAGTTTTCATTGAAGTTTTGTCAAAATTAAATTTTGATGAACATTGGGGTATTTTTAGGGCAAAAAAACTATGGGTCACCAAAGTTAAAAATAAAGGCAAACTTTGGGATATTGCTTGGGGGGAAGATCTTTCGGTATCAAAGTTAAAAGCGGAGTAAGTTTCGAATAATTAAGTGCAAATAACCCAAATTATAATAAAGGCAAGTTATAACAAAGGTATTATATTTAACGATGAGAAAGAAAGGCTCACCTCAGATAAAGTGGCTTCTAACTTCTCCTTCACTTTAGATGACCTGAAGATGCCTATGATGCACACAGCAGTTCTATCTCCGCATACATTATCCATATTCGAAGCAGTGAGATAAGAAACAGAATTCCCCTGAGAGTCCTCTTTAGATGCCTTCTTTGCTCGACTGGAAGCCATCTTATTCTTCTTTTCAAAATCTTCGAGTAAGGTTCTTAACTCGCTAATGCCAGATTTTAAATCTTTTACTGAAATCCCTTCTTTCAAAACATGCTCTTCGCCGTTTACCAGCCTACCAACCAAGGCAGGAAATGCTTTCACCCCTAACCTCTTCAACATGGGATGTGAAGTATCATGATGAACCTACAACAACAAAATCTACCCTTTATATTGGCTCTTAAAATGATATTTGGATTGGATTAAAAAACCAGCAGCAAAGCTCAGGATTACCTCTGCATCGTAGAAAGCAAATCGCTTGTGATACAAGCCACTGAGTGCACGCCACATTACTGGGGTATCCTTTTTTGTTGAGAGAAGTAGCACTTGTGGGAGGTTCTCTTTGGTACTTGAAGAAAAATCGAACTGACGTAGATCCACTCGCTTTGAAAATCTTGGTAGATGTTCCTGAACAAAAAACTTCAGTGTCCTGGCATCAGACTCACCAGTGTACTCCACCAACGTCCCTCTTTCACCACTTTTAAATGAATAAATAAACAAATTAGCTGATTTTGAAGGTGATACGCCAATATCTTTACAAAGAGTCTTTTCGGTCACACAATTTATTTTACCCGCCTGGACAAGAACATTTTTTGAGAACTATAGTCAAAAAAATATATATGAAAAGAAGCAAAAAAGCAACTTCCAGCTAAATGCGTACTTATGTAGGAAGCATCCGAAACAGGTAATTATGTGAAACTTACCTTCACTGCTCCCTGTAAAGAGTTGGCAACATCCTCGACTATAGATTCAAGAACATGATATCCCCTTGCAGAAGGTGTATAGAACAATAAAAGCCACGTCAATCCTTTATCTTTTATGTGTTTATCGAAGAACTGTGAGTTAATATCTTTTACAACCCCAGAAGAAGCAAACCCAGATTTTGTGCCGCCTGAATCAGTGAAACCACCAAAATTATTCCCGCCACTGAAACCACCTTGTTGATTCCCACCTTTCATGCCACCACCAAATAAGTTGAACATATCACCAAAGTCAAAACCAAATGGACTCCCACTACCACCATCATTTCCACCGAAGGAGAATGAAAATGATTTTGTATTTCCCTGGCCACCCATTGTCTTCCACCCACCAGGACCAGAGGTAAAGGAACCACCACCACCAGGGCCACCAGAGGTGAAGTAGGTGTAACCCTCACCATTCCCAAAATTGCCTCCACTGTTCCCGAAATTCCCTCCACCAAATCCTGGATTTCCCTTCTCGTCACCATAGAGATCATAGTTCTTCTTCTTCTCTTCATCTGATAGAATTTCATAAGCTGGAAAGGAAAGCGTATGCAAAAGTTCATGTCAAATAAGTTATAATAATTCAGACCCATCAAGTGGAAAACGATGTTAAGCAATAAAGAACAAAGTTTATTTCCAGTTGGCAAATAACATCATGTATTGCCACATGCATGTAATAATATGCAGTAGGGTGATTTCCTAGGTTCATCAGCCTCATATCAATCAAAATCCCCCTTCAGTAGGCGACAAATGTACTGGCCAAAAACAAAAAACAAAAAAACGTCATCTAGACTTTGACATAACAAATACACATGCCAGACTACAACTAGTTCTATAATATAGAGAAGGTTCTCCTAATAACCACACATACAAAAGAATGTTCCTAACTCATTAGCAATATAAAAGCTGGGTTTATGATCCTGAATCATCGTCTGCATAACTAAATTGCGTGAGGATGAAAGTAAACATGTGAGTCTGCTGGTGAGGCGACTTAACATATTTCTGAGGAAAGAAAAAGTAAATCTAGATGGTTAGAAGGCCTTAAATAATAGATGGCTCATCCAAAACACAAAAGATATCAGTAGCAAGGTTATGAGAGATTCATTATAGTTCCAGGTCAGGTTCATATTCCAATTGTTTCTCCATTTAACCCTGGTGCTCTTTCTGTCATTCAACAATTTCGTCGTGATCAATTACATTCTCCGCTATTCCCATTAAATCTCACCTCTATAAAAAGAGTTGAAGTAACAACCTTCTGGAGCAGCATGTGAAACTGAATAGTCATATACTTCAACTAGAACCGTGAAACGATACGGAGAGAAATAAAGATGCTCTACAACTGGAAATAATCCGATACAAGGTAGAATTGACCAACTATAACCTCATACTTGACAGAACACAGAGGAAAAAGGTATACTATCATTACGAATAAAGGAAGAAAGAAGATATCGAAATCATGATCAACCAAACTAGGCCATAACTGTACTAAAGTTCTAGAGACATCTTATGTTTGTTGGCAACACTCTCGCTGTTCTCGACTTATTTAGCATATTAGTGAAACAAACATAGTATACCTCATTGAACCTTCCAATCTACCAGTAAAAGAAAACAGGAATATTTAACAAAAAAGGCCACTGTATAAAATTCCAGAGTAAAGTACAGTTCATAATGAAATAAAATGCAATACCATTGTTTATCTCAGCAAACTTCTCATTAGCACCCTTATTTTTGTTTTTATCAGGATGATATTTAAGAGATAACCTGAAATCAGATTGCACACTGGTCAGATCACTCAGAACCACCAAAAATACACTCAGATAGTAAACATGTATTTACTGCAGGATATTTCTGTACACGCACCTGTGAAAAGCCTTTTGAATTTCCCGCTGACTGGCATTTTTATCAACTCCAAGAACCTGGGAAAAAAAACAAAGAAACACAATAATCTCAGAGATTTAGTTGCACGCAAAAGGCATAAAAAAATACATATGTACCCAAGAAATACTTATCATCCAATATTGCAAACCCGAGGAGTCACTAAATCTGACAAATGACCAAGAATACTCTTTCTTCCTAGCGAAACTATTCTTAGAGACAGACTGATTCTCAGTAACATGCATGAACAGACTAAAGGAAAAATATATATATATATTAGTGTTATAAATTGACACAGTCATTGATTCTATCAGCTGCATGATCACATTGGAAAGCTTAAGCCAATAATAAATTGCATATGTTGATTTGCATGTCAAGGTCTTCTATGTACTTGTTAACTGTTATGTGATAAACACCTCCTAAAACTTTAGGATAAAAGAAGCTATGCAAGGATTCTCCCTGACAATTACCATGCAAAGGAGACATAAAATAGAAGCACTGAGTACAAGAGTGAATATAGCTTGTGTCTTGTGCTTATGTATATGGAGAACCAACAAAGGATATTATTTTGGCCTAAACCAAGTCGTACTAGGAGAAGAAAAAATCGAACTTGAGACAAGACTTCACAACTCACAAGAACTCTCTTCACCAAATAAAATCTCTAGTCTGAATTTCCCTAGGAATCTGAAGCAGTTCAACTATGTTGGTATTCGCAGCCTAAACCAGCGGTCTAGTGGGAACCACCGAACACTCGTATTAAATCTCTTGGATTCAGGCACTGTTGATTAGCAACCTACCATAAAACAGATATATCATATAACATACTTCCTATTCGCTCGAAGTGGCATGAAATGCATCTAAGTCCATGATTCAATATTCAACTACTGATCATAAAAGTCATATGAATCTGCATCGTATGATTATCAAGATAACTTCTATAAAAAAATATTAAATAACGATTCCTATACATAGCATCACACTTACAAGCCTTTTGAGAAAAGACAATGGCTTGAGTAGAACAAATCAATCATATTATTACACTCAATATCTTTTAATTCTCCATACATATGGAAGAAGCATAATAAGCTTCCACAAAATGTACAGTAAGAACTAAACTGCGTCAATGAAGGTCACTAGTTTCTCTAGTTTCTACCATAGATACATCAATGATCTTCTTTTAGCCAATTAGTATTAATCCTGTTAGCACCAGTTATTCCCCAATCATATGATCTTATCATACTTATTTATAAGGAGTCAAATTAGCAGCAATAGTTTTGATCTTTATGACACAGATGAACATCACTAAGAGCACAAATAACACGAGGTTTTCTTTGAATTTTATCTCCCATGATAATGAAACAGGATGCATTTGATATCCTGATGTTACATAAAGTCTCCTTTGAAGAGTGTATGATATCAACATTGCACAAATCTATGACCCCACCACAGCCCAATAACATTTCTTGCAGTTAAGAGCTCAATGCATCTAACTTGCCTAGAAACTCAGTAACTGGATAGATATGAAGGAACATCCGTCACATATGACAGGTCTTGACCATTACACTACCAAAGAAAAAATTGCCACGACAGACAACTTGTGTAGCTTGATCACCCACCATAACACTTCTTCTTGTGTTAACCAGGTTTTCGAACTACACAACATTACAAACACGCCCTTATCTACAATCAAATAAATGGAGGATAGAACCCCAAATACAGAGACATTTCCCACTGTCCCAGCCGCAACTTGTTAAGTAATATATTACAAGATATTGTTGAAATATTGGGAGATACGATTGTATACGATTTTTACCTCATACCTATTTTGTAATATTCTTCTAACCTCTATTTAATTAAGAGAAGTTAAAGTCAGATGAATAAGATCTTAGCCTTTTTCTATTTCTCAACATGGTATCAAAGCCATCCTCTAGGATCTTGATCCTAGAAAAACATCTTTCTTCTTCGTCTACATTGAGCCACTGAGGGGATTTTTTCGACCTTGACGCACTGCTCCATCACTCACAACCTCCACTCACAGCAAACCCCTAGTCTAATCTTGCATGCTTCGCAGAATAGTACTGTTAACCATGAGTATTGTTCATTGGCAGTGGTAATGTTCATGCATAGTACTGTTTGTCGACGATAATGTTCACCCGCTCCCGCGCTACAGCTTGCTATGAGTTACTGTTCATTGCAAATGTTGTCCATCAATCATGTTCATTCTCAGTACTGTTCAGAGCGAGTTGCTATTCATCTGGACCATCGATTACCTTCATGCCCTAAATCCTCGCCTTCGATAATTGATCTCACCTAGATCTCGACGATTCGATCTCATCCTAATTGTCGACCTTTGCCTCCTTGTCGATCTTTGCTCAAGCCCAAAGTCAACTCCACAATTTATTTGTTAGATCCTTAAAAAAAGGATCATTTATTATCAAATCCTTCAAGAAATGATCATTTATTGTTGGATCCTGAAAAAAATCATCAATTGTCAGATCCTTTGATGAAGGATCATTTGTGGTTGGATCCTTCAAGGAAGGATCATTTGTTGTTGGATCCTAAAAAGAATTATTTAATTGGTGGAGCCCTAGAAGGGATTACCTAATTTAAAGACATTCACGTGAAAAATAAGAAGATCAAGATTACTTTGAGGCATCGTCACAGATTAGACTTTGTAACAAGCTAGACATGTATGATATACATGCTTCAGCTTGAGGGGAGTGTTAAGGAATATATTATAAGATATTGTTGAGATATTGGGAGATATGATTGGATATGATTTTATCTCATAGCTATTTTGTAATATCTTCTTAATCTCTATTTAAGAGAGATAAGGGTTAAATGAATAATGTCTTCGCCTTTTTCTATTTCTCTACACAGGTAAAACATCATCCTAATACCAATCCTAATACCTTGAGTTCTACCAAACTAGAGCACTAGTTGGATCGATAATCTCCTTCATCCGGTTAGTTCAGCCAACCAACCAACCCACCTTATTGTTGACTGAATCTCATCTCTTAACAAAGACTACTTCACGGGGCCTGCTGTCTCTTTCTTAAGTTAACCCCTTCTTGGCTAGTTATTACTCTAGATATGAATTTTAGTTTCTCAAATATCAACCTTTCCCCTTCCATTGTTCTTCATAGAATGGTGAAATCTATGATAGCCAACATAACTTCAGGGTCATTGCACAGAAACAAGAGCTAAAATAGACACGGCCTTCAATACCAATGTGCATGCATTAAGATGATGATAAGGATGATATAATTTCAAGCAGCTTAGTTTCTGACTCAAATGGTTAAACAATCTTTAATTGTAGAATCACAAAGGGCAGGATTTTGGAACAAAGAGGCCAAGATAATCATGAAAATATAATCTTTCTTGGTTTAGAGACACCAAATTCCCAAAAACACAACAAATCGCCATGATTCGCCAATACCCAATCCACATTAACAAATAGCCTTGAAAATCCTAGAAAATCATGAAATCTAGCTCTCAGAACACAATATCCTAATGCAAATAAAGAAAACTTCATCCCAAATTCGAGGAACAATATGAGGAATCAACCAAATCAAGAAAGAGGATCGTCGTACCTTGTAGGGGTCTAGGGTTTTGGCCTCGCGAGATGCGAAGAGGAACATAAAGAATAACAAGAACAGAAGCCGAGATCGACGTATCATCAGCGCCATTTTTTTATTTTTCACTCTCTATTCAGTTTTTTTTTATTTTATTTTTCTTAACGTTTTTGTTCGGATAAAAAAAAATATGCCGCCGACGATGTGAGACAGCCGCGGGCTTTTTAAGGGGACCCGGCAAGAGTCCAGATGTTTCGTGAGCTTGGACACGTGGCACGTGGATGTGTTTCCAGCGACTCTCCACCAATGGGAATTTAGAAAGCCACGTGTTCACGAGAGTACGAAGAAATTCCGAATTGAGATAACGTGATCTAACTTTAGCGGGACAAATTTTCAAAACCGACCCATTTCATGATTTAATTGCAAAAAACAATCCGTTTCTTTTTTATTTATAAAAACCGACCCAGTTGGTTGAAACTGGGTCGGTTTTTGAAAAATTTTTTCCCAAACTTCACGGGAGTTCAACTCCCGTGAAGTTTTGTTATGAGAAAAAACTTCACGGGAGTTGAACTCCCGTGAAGTTTCGTAAAGTTTTTTAGAAAAACCGACCTGGTTTCAACGACAGTGCTAAAACCAGGTCGGTTTTTATAAATAAAAAAGAAACGGGTCGTTTTTTGTAATTAAATCATGAAATGGGTTGGTTTTGAAAATTTGTCCAACTTTAGCGCCTGTTTGGTTGATTTCCTAAAAGAAAATAGGGTAAGAAAACTATTAAATTTTGATTTTCATATATTTCTTTAAAAAAGTTATAAAATGAGTTTTTCTTAAAAATGAGTCACATCATCTAATAATATGGTGACAACTCATCTAATCTCATTTATTTTCTAAGTTTTAAGAAGTAAACCAAACATAAGAAAAAAACCTCTTGTAGAAAACAAGTTTCTTATAATTGATTTCCTAATTTTTTTAGTCAATCAAACAGCCCCTTAGTGCTTGCATGGTTATGAAATGGAACGACATGAATTTAATTTTGTTTTGTTGTGTTTTAAGTGTACGTTAATTTTTGTCTCCAAATCTTCTTAAAAATTGCTATAGCTAATTTCTTTTTCATGATGTTGTGGGTTGAAGAAAATTACAAATGAAAAATGAACTATTGGTTAGGCTATTTAATTAATTTTTTGCTTATTGTGTACAACAATTAGCTATTACAACGCCTTACCTACATGAAAACTCTTGCTCTTGCCCTTAGGCCTCGTTTGGTAAGCGGGAATGGGGTGGAATGGAATGGCATTCTCACTTCCCATTCCTTCATACCAAACAAACCAACTTTTTAGATGTTGGAATGACCATTCCCAGGGAATGACCATTCTCACTTTTTGTGGGAATGGGCATTCCAAGTGAGAAGATAGGGAATGGTCATTCCCATTCAAGAGAGAATCAAATCAGTTATTTATTTTTTAATTATACCCCTATTAATCAACTGATTTCCACATTAGTAATTCTGACATCCTTTTCATATGCAATATGCATCAACTGTGGATATCATTCTTTATATTTTTTTTGGACCTATGAAAGATGCGATAATCTTTTATTTATTTTTCTTTAATTTTTTAAGACTAAGAAATAGTGAGTATTGTTTAAAAAATATAAATAGAACATACACTTGAGAGATAACATGCGCAATAGTATAACATGCACAGAAATTAGTATAACATATGCATAAATAAAATTGTTTAGTTATTATCATTAATGTTTATTTTTATCTTATTAAAAATATATGTTGTTGTAAGGACATTATTAGAAAATGCGATTCCATTCTCACTTGTGAACAAGTGATACCAAACATGGGAATGAGAACGAGATTTTCATTCTAGCCTCATTCTACAAAAGTACCCAAACATGAGAATGGGAATGACCATTCCATTCCCACATACAATCCATTCCATTCCTTCTTCCATTCCATTCTCACTTATGTCCATTCTCGCGTACCAAACGAGGCGTAACTAGGGTACATGAGATACCCTACAGCTGAGCTCATGCGCAGATCATGACATTAGGATGCTCGCAAAGGCCCTAGTGTTTTGACTTAGGGGCCGTTTGGTTGGTTTCCTAAAAACCAAGAAAAGGAAACTGGTACAAGGAAATCAATAAAATAATATTTTTATTCATTTCCATCCCTAAAACTAGGCCTGTCCATCCGGGCCGGCCCGGCCCGGCCCGGCCCGAAAATCCGGGCCCGGGCCGGGCTCCGGGCAGGCCCAGATTTTTTTGTTTTTTTGTTTTTTTATTTTTTTTAAAATTTTAAAAAACAATAAAACATAAAAAATACATAAAAATTATATTTATATAATAGTATATATATATATTTATACACTTATATAAATATAATTATATTATATGTACATATAAGTTTATGTTTATATATATGTATAGATATATAAATATATATTTATACTCTTATATGTATTTATACTATTATATAAATATACTTATATATGTACATATAAGTTTATGTTTATATATGTGTATATATAAGTATACTTATATACTAAGAGAGAGAGAGTATAAATATATATATAAGAGAGAGTATACACTGTACACATATATAAGAGAGAGCATACTTATACATATATATAATTATATAAGAGATATAAACATATATAAGAGAGAATATACTTATATTTATATATACTTATATACTAAGTAGCCCAAAGTATTCATGTCATTCAATATATGTATATGTATATATATACACACACACACTGACACACATATACATATATTATACATAAACAAATTGTAAATACTTATAGTAATTACATAAACAAATTGTATTATACATAAAAACACACACACATATAAACTTATATATACACACATATATTATACATATATAAGAGAGAGTATACTTATATATACTTATACATATATTATACATATATAAGAGAGAGTATACTTATACATTATACTTATATATATATATATAT